CGAAAAGCGTCCTCAGCTCAGCGTCCAGTAAGAATTCCGGCGATTCTCGACTTCAATTGAAAGATATTAGCTCGCCAGTAGGTGACCGTTGTGTGTTAGGCGTGCGTTTGAGTTTGTCTCCAGCTGCTGAGAGCAGCGATGGAATGGTTAGTTAGTCAGGAGGTGATCGTTCGGGCAACATTCAGCCCAGCCAGTGTCACGCATGGCAAAATACACGGTTAAAATACACATGTTCACCCTATTGAGACCAGTTGTTATGGTGGAAACTTTGGCCGCTTTGCGGGACGGGAAAATATCATCAGATCGGAATGAAATTTTGCACAGAACCTTGTACCATAGTATCGACAAGAATTCCGACCCGGCCCGACGAATCCGACAAACTTTTTTTTTTGCCATGAAAATGTGGACCACCCTACTCAACATGTATGAAGGAAAACTCTCGTACTCAACCCCACTAGTATGAATAATTTTGATACTTAATAGCAAATGCAAGACAGTACACAAACTTTTTTTCCTATTTTCTGTTGCTCGTCTACAGGGGTGTCCAAACCCATTCCTCGAAGGCTGTTGTCTGGCGTATTTTACATGTCTCCCTATTCCAACAGTCGTGATTCAAATGATCAGGATTGTTATAAGGCTTCTTCTGCGCTTGCTCAGGAGCTGATCATTTTAATCAAGTGTGTTGGAGTAGCGAGAAATAAAGCACGCAGGACAGCGGCCCTCAAGGGCATGCCTGCTCCATGCCCGGCACTTATGTGGTGTCATTTGTGTTTGCACCACGTTTGTCAAATGACTCATGCTCAACCAATAAACAACGTTATGAAACACTAACACATTGTTTTTGTGTTCAAATAGGTGTAAAAGAAGACATTGCGCATTACTCGGTGCATAGTGGGCCCAAACTTAAATTTTATAGAAGCAAACAGAAAAGTTTGGGGTGCACACTATAAATCGATGTGAAAAGTAAATATTCAGTATTACGGATGAATACTTTCACAATAAATGCAGAAACGTCATTATCTTAAAATTTACATTTCACAGTGCAGGTTTTGAAACCAGGTAAATATGATAAACAAGTTATACATCTTAAATACTAAAAAATCATGTTAATGTTTAGGCCAGCAGTACCAGTTTTAGGGTAGAATTTGCGGTACATGATCTCCATGAAATACCTCAGGTAGGTGAATTTGCACAGCCACTCACCCGGAACACCCAAACCCCCCCCCTCACAAAATGACACGTATCAGGTTTGTCTCGTCTGGCACACGTGGTTTACTGAGGAGCATGTAAGCACTAATTGTCCATTATTCATTTTTTACCAGAGTAACGTGAAACCTTCAGATTTGCGCTATACTGTAAGCCTAAAACCGGCCTCTTTTGACATAATGGCCAATCACAGTGGTCATCCACGTTGGCGTTTGCATGGCACTAACAAAGATCGTGCTCATTTACAAGCTGCATTACTTTTACATCAATTTTCAGGCTCTTATCATTTTCAAAAACAGCAGTTGTTTTTATAAACATTCCTAACATTGCAATTATCGCTGCGACAGATTAATTTGCACACTGTCATCTGGCCACCTGTCAAGTGACCATCAAGTTCATGTTTCCTCTGATGATGAAACGTTCTGTCACCAGGTCAGTCGCCAGAGGCAGCCTCTGACCTCAGCCTGGCCTACATGAAGTCCAGAGTGCAGGGATTGGCTGGGGTGGTGACAGTGGATCCACAGGGTCAATGGGCTGCTCGCTTCACCAGTTCTCAAATGGCCTGGGCTGCAGCCCAAAAGGATTGCCTCCACTACGGTTTATACACCGGGGAACACTTCACCCAAAGCATTGATGAACCTTAATGAGAGAAAACACACGACTCAGGAAAGTTTCCCATATACATTTCTTTGTTTAAAATAATTATTCACAAAAAATCTATTTTTCCTTTACTGGGGCTATCCTAAGGGTTTCACATAAGGGCTGTCTTCCTGGAAGTTCCATTATGAGAATACAATAAACATACAATTACATACAGCATTTAAAGGTTTGCATTAACAGCACAATCTGAATCTATTTTATCTGAAATATTGTGTTGTTTTAAAAGTGAAGGCAAAGTCACTTTTGCGCTGGTGATGAAGGTTACGACTAAATCACAATGATGACAGTTACATCTTACAGCCACAAGAGGGTGATGTTGTAAACGAAACAAAAGATGAAGTGAGTTGACAATACAGTACATTGCAGAATTTCTTTGGACGCATATCCATGTTTTCAGATTGTTACTCGACATGAAATTATGTTATTAAATCAGATTTCAAATAAAAAGGGATTTGTTTTTCCGTCCTGTTTTGTTGTAATTGTTTGATGACATTATTATTTTTGCAAGAACTAGCATGAATGGGAGAGTCGCTCTGTTTTCCATCCACCCATTTTCTATCCTGTCGAGGGTCGTGCGGAGATAGAGCTTATCCCAGATGACTGCGGGTGAAAGGCGGGCCACACCTTGGATTGCTCGACAACAATACAATAAGCTTAGTCGACTGTCCCCCATGCAACTGTGGACTTTTTCCACTGCACCGTCTTATTTCTATTATTTATTTTTTGTTTTGAGTTGCAACTACAAACCTACAGGTAACAGGAACTAAAAGCAGATAAAATACAGTAAACCGCTGGTCGGACGACGAAAGTGTTTACACTGAAAGCATCAGTAAGATGTGGGGATTAGTTGACACAGCACTGGTGACCTACAGACAACATCCCATTAACTTTTCACATGTAAAATGTGAGAAATAACCGCAGACTTCAGTAGCCTGAACCCATTCATTGAAATTTATTCTCGCAAATCAAATTAACAAGATTAATCTATAAATAAGGTTTGAAAATCTGAACGAGCTAGAACACAATAATGGATAGTTGGATAGAGTCATTAAACAAATTGGTTTTGGGCTTCTGACTTCTGAATACTTTACGTGCAATGCCTTTACTGTGGTGCTGGATGGTATATAACTCAAATCCATCTATTAAGATGTCTTGAAATTATGCAATTCCCTTCGTAAACAGGACTACAGTACTATATTGCTCGATATAAAATGTTCGTCTTTATTTATTTGCAGTCTTCAGGAAACTGTAGTACATCTGGCTGTCAAACTATTCTGACGAGAGTGTCCTCATTGTATTTTGGGTTAATTTTGTGTGTAAACCAGCGGTCCCCAAACTTTTTCCTGTGAGGGCCGCATAAGCTTTGCTTCTGTGATGGGGGGG